AACTTTGCATAATCATAGTATTTGATATAGTCTTCTGATATTGCCTTTTCTAACCAATCAATGTAAGCGGTGGGATTATTTACGTGTTTTTCGATTTTCATATTTACAAGTAAAAAGAGTATTTTTTGTTCAGACTACGTGCAAATATAATATATATTTTATCATTCAACTAAATCAAAACTATATGTGATTACCTTATTTGTTAATTAATAATAAATGGAAATTAAGTTCATATTAATGTCTTTAAACATTAAAATCAGGATCAACGTAACACAATTATTATTGATGAGAACTAATTAAATCAAAACGTATGGTATTATTAAATGAATAATACTTTGATTTATAATAACTACTAGTTAGATGTCTGCAGGGATCCGGATTTTATATTCAAAATTGACATTTTTAATTTTGTCGCGTTACATATTGAATTTTTTTTTTCTTAAGGCAAATAAAGGAGTTTTAAAATGTTAAGAAAAAAAAAGCAGAAAAGGTGAAGGCTGTATTTCAATGAAACTATTGACACACAAGAGCAATCAACAATGGATAGTATTTTTCAATAAAATTATATATTACTATTTTTGGTATTTGTTAAATAAAAAAATTTTATTGAATATTAAATTTCGCATCGCCAAATAACAAATTAATTATCATGGGTCAAAGAATTGTCATATTATTAAGTCCGGTGTACAGGACGCAACCAAATTTACAGCTAATTTCAAAAGTCACTACGTTCTGAATATAGCGACATAATTTTTTTTTACCCATATATAAATATGGTTGACTTTTCCAAATCCTTATAAATGTTCTCGGAAAAGTCTCGGATATTATCGGCTGTCCCGTGACTTAAGAATTAGCTGTAATATCATTTTCCAAACCTTTGCTAATTTTAATTCTAATACTGTAGATGCATTTTAAATTTGCAAATCACCAAATGACAAGTCACCGAAGGTAAATGTGTGCATTAAATATCCGAAATCTTAAAAATTTAATAACTTGCGTATTATTAATGCTTAAGTAATGCAAGAAACTTTAATCTATTCGTGATAATTTAAGAAATATAAGCTACCTCGTTTTCTTGAAAACTCTATATAAATTTTTTTTCCAGTTGAAGGTTTATTTTATTATTTTCAAAGTATTAATGGATATTTTTTTTTTAAAAAAAAAAAAATAAAAAGCGAGTTATTTTGAATACTTTTCGCGAAATTTGAAATGGTAACGTCAAGAACCCAGAGTTAAGAAATTTATTATGACACAAAATAACTTTGTAGTATAAATAGCTAAATATGAGAAATCTTCAATAGTAAAACTTTCATATGATACAATACATAGTTTTGATTTAATTAGTTGACAGCGTACCCCAATATTTTTGTGGTAGATAACAAGGTAAGAGCTTTAGTGTTACTGTCTAGGTTTCTGTGCCGAGGCATAGACACACCCCTCGTAAAATTAGAGCTATAGATTAATAATTTGGTAATCAGGTGTCATACTGCCCTGACATCAGCGATGGAAGGGAAACAGAAAAAAAGTATTACTTTGACTCAAATATTTTTTAAATAACTAAATATATTTTTACGTGTAATCGAAATTCTTATTACGCAAAAGACAAATTAAATAATCAATTCTGAAATTTTTACTCTTTTTTTTTTTATTTAATTAGGTTGTAAAACTCAAATCTGATAGTATTAAAAGAATCTATGATATAAATTACACCGAATTATTAATTACGTTTCTTGCATAGATATACGTAAATAAATTATATCGAGTAATTAATTTCGTTACATCACCGTAGCATGAATTGTACTCGAACTTTTTTAACGCTTGCAAATATTCCAAAATAAGAAAATATTGTAAATTTTACTTTAAATGCTAAATAACAAAAAAAATAAAGATAAAAAAAATCACAGCTCGGGTAATAATTAGAACCGCATCCGTAGTTGTAATGACTTAAATTTACTGTCTTGACGTGCTGAAGTCATATTATTTATGATATTGCCACCATAATATTTATCCTGGTAATTTTTATTAAAACTTTAAATCTTACAAGGGCAAGATAGTAAAGAACGTCCTTTCCAAGTTGTTTAAATATATTTTACTGCCTTATTATACTAACTACAAATGGTTAATCTATAAAATCACTACTAATACATCGAGTAAACAATGGCAAATCATCATGGAAATCAATTTTAAACAATGAATTTTTCAAATCCAAAGTTTAATTTTAATCACATAATTTATTTTTCAACATGTTTGATAAATCTTGTTAAAATTTTAAAAGTTTTAACCTTATCACGTCTTCAGGTTTTTGTTGCTATGAAAATTATAAAGGATTTTTTAACTCAATTTCTACAAAATCAATTCCTATTATGTTTCATATCCTTCCGAATACATCTCAATCCAGTCCTTTTCGAAAACAATCAACGTTATATTTATAAAACTTGGAATGGTTAGGCTTTAACTGGCAGTATGTAATTAGCATCGTTCAAGAAGCCTCACGAGAATACATTTTCAAATTATTATACTAATGTACAGTATATACATTTATTTCTTATCATTATTAAATGATTTATTGGACTATTAAAAATTAGGGATGGTAACGGTCGGCAACGGTCGGTCAAAGGCCCGACCGGTTAACTGACCGATTTTAACTGACCGGTTGACCGAATAAATAATTGTGCAGTATTGGCTTAATAGAAATTTTTAATTACAATATTAGAATTAAATTTCAGTATTCTACCTTTAATAACTATGATACTAATTTCGCATAATTGTAATTTAGCCAGTTATTATAATTTTGTTATTGCTTTAAACAATTCTAGCATGGCATTTTTAAAACTACTTGTCATTTTTTTTAGTGGCGCAGCATTATCGCGGACTTTTATTAATGAAACAAATATTTATGAAGATCTAATGCTAAAAAAAAAAGCTTTGGCGTCAAGTGATCGACATTGATAACCAAATAAATACGATCAGGCACACTAATCTTTCTTCCCTCGAGAAAAATGAGCGTTAATTATCAGAATGCTAATAATCAACTTTCCTTACTTTATCAGCAAGCTGTACATATTGCGGAAAATGCTGTCAAAGATGATCAAAATGGCAATGTTGAAGCTGCTATAAAATCTTATTCAGATGTTACAAAGGTAAATTGAATTTTTTTATTTTTTTTTTTTTCGCACACATTCAAAATTTGATTGATAAATTCACCATTTACTAGATTTTTGAATCGATTTTACAATGTGAGTTTTTCAATTGAGTTTTGAATTTGTCTTCAATTAAAATCTTTAAATAATTCAAAAATTCATTGTTAATTAATAAGTTGAAACAAATCAAATTAAGAAAAACAAAATCATTGAAAAATATCAAGAGTATAACAGACGTATTACTGAACTAAAAAGTATTGTTCTGCCCGAATTGTCAATTTTCGGTCAATTATTGAAGCAGGCTCAGGTTTGTATATATATTTCTCTAATATTCAAGAGTTCTAAATCACGAAAAAAGAATGTTCATCATAGCATTTACAATGTTCATTTAGTCTAAATCGGATCAAGCTTTATTACAAGATAAACAAAGAAATAATCAAATGGCTTTAGAATTGTATACGGAATCATTGGAATTATTTATGAAAGCTATGAAAGGTTATTTATTTCTATATGATATAGTAACATATTTTAATATAACAAATAGAACAAATAGATTAATATATTATTCAAATTACAATCTTATAAATAGAAACTAAGGATGATTCTATTAGAGCGAAATTGACTGAACGGATGAATCAAATTTTTGAAAGAGCTGAAGATTTGAAAGGATTACCGACTAATTCTCTGTCTTTATTATGTAAGTTAATTGTTTGAAAAATAATTTGTTTGTTTTGATTTCTAAATTTTATTTATTTTAAATGAATAGCTCTAAAATCAGCTAATCCAAACGCAGAAAATTCTTTGTTGTCTTCGTCAAATTTTGGGTTATCTAGTATGGAAATTGAAGTTCTTGAAAAAAATTCACAAATAAATAACAAAATCTTTCCTCCATGGCCTGAAGAAATAAACGAACAATTCGAATATGACAAACCATTTATGTATGTTTATTATTGATTACAAGATACTCTAATTATTTATGTTGACTCATGTTTATTACCTTTAAATATAGAGATGATGATGGACTTTTGAACTTGTCGATAATTCAGAGAGCAAATTTTGGTTCATGGAAACGTCCATCTCAAATAATGGAAGAACCCAAAATGATTACAATGATTTCAAGTGCAGCAATCAAACAAGTAAGGTTTTTATTTTATTATTAGGAGATTTTTGATCGAGTCGCAGGTGACTCATATTACGATCTTGCGTTTTGTGGATTATAGGATATTGTAACAGATTGCTCATTCGTAGCGTCATTATGTGTCAGTGCAGCATATCAAAAACGATTTGGTAATAAGCAGGTAAACGTTTAATTAATTTTTTTTTTATCAACCTTATTAATCTATATATATAGATTAATTTATTTATTTATTGTTATTTGTTAGTTGATTACAAGATGTATTTTTCCTAAAAATAAATTTGGTAATCCATTTTACAATCCAAGCGGAAAATATATGATAAGGTTAATTTGCAATGGAATTCCAAGAAAAGTAAGTTTGTCATTATGATTCAGAAATTCTTTATAAATGTATTGTATTAATAATATTTTTTTTTTAAAATTTTCATTTAGGTTGGTGAGTAAAGTCAGTAGCAATCATAATTTAATTATCAAATATTACATTTTGATATATCAAAACGCTATATTTCAACTGATTCTGCAAAAAAAAAAAAAATTTTTTTTTTTTCAAAAAGTTGTTGATGACTTACTTCCACTTTCTCGCGATGGAACTCTTATGTGCACATTTTCAACAAATAAGGATGAATTATGGCCAAGTATAATAGAGAAAGCCGTAAGTTTAATGAAATTTTGTTGTTCTTATTTAATTTATTTTTAACGTTTATTGTATATTTAGTATTTGAAATTAATGGGAGGTTATGATTTCCCGGGATCGTAAGGATATAACTTTCCTTTTGAATCTATTTATAACAAAAATTATTTACTGAAAAAAATATATTTCACTTTGAATTATAAGGAATTCCGGGATTGACCTCTAGTAAGTAAATTAAATTTTTAAAGATTAAAGAAAAATCAAGCGTCAGTGCTAATTCAGAGTTATTTTTAGTGCGCTTACTGGATGGATTCCGGAACATATTTTTATAGACGAGTAAATCTTTGATCTTTATATATGAATTATTTTTGAATTTCGTTAAACATTCCTTGACATCTTTCCTTTTTTTACTAGCAAAGATTTTGAAAAAGAAACTACGTGGAAGCGGCTCTTGGACGGTCAAAGATATGGTAAAATAACAGATATAGGAATTCCGATATAAAAAGCAATCCTTTTTATTCATACTGCTATTCAATAAACAGGAGATGCGCTTGTTACCATTGCTACCGGCTATTTGAGTGATGCAGAAGCTGATTCCCTTGGATTAGTTCCTACTCATGCTTATGCTGTTTTAGGTAGCGTATAGAATTGATTATTGTTTTAAATGAGTTAAAGCTCTTATTAATTACATTCACTATTAGATATACGTGAGGCGAATGGCTTCTGTTTATTGCAAGTAAGAGTATCCCGGTTATTCTTAAATTTTTTAAATTTAAGTTTAATAACAAATGATATATTTTTTAAGATTAAAAATCCATGGAGTCATAAAAGATGGATGGGTCCATTTAGTCATTTGGATAACGTCAATTGGACTCCTGAATTAATAAAAGCGCTAGATTATGATAGAGAGAATGCATTGGACGCTGATGATGGTATGTATGCCTGTCTTCAGTAATATATTAAAACAACCGTATTGTTTACTTTATTTATTATGATTTTACTTGTGGCAGGAATATTTTGGATTGATTATGATTCTGTATGTCATAATTTTTTCTCGATCCACATGAATTGGAATCCGGAACTTTTCCCTTATACTGCTATTAAACACTCGTGAGTCTTTCAAAGTATTTTGCCTTATTTCTTTATTTTCTTTTATAAACCTTAACAATCCTTTTTTCATTAATAGCACATGGCCTGCAAATGTTAAGTTGCAAAAAGACATTTTGAATTTAGGTAAATTTTCTCGAAACAGATATGGTTATTAATTTTTAAATCATTCAGATCAAGATGATACCATAATTTATTAGGATATTATCCACAGTTTTGCTTGGAAGTTACAAACGATAGCGAGCATCCATCTCCGGTTCGTCTTTTGTTGACCAAACATATCACTGTGACAGAAGAGAATAAGGATTACATCACGCTACACATTTATAATGATACAAATGGAGAAAAGATTTATTATCCTAGAACGCCTTGGAAACAGGTAATTTTCATACATAAAACCATTTGTTTTATTTTATTTCATATTAAAGAAGAATTTCCTGTTTTAGGGTGCATATGTAAACAGTCCACATATACTGGTACGTGCATGAAGATATATTGTAATTTGGTTTAATTTAATTAAAAATTTTAAAAATTGATTTTTATTCTAATGAAGGTCCGGTTTAATGCACCAACGGGTGTTTCACGTTATACCATTGTTGTTGCTCAAATCGAAAAAGCTAAATCCTTGGATTTTACACTTAAATGTTACTGTATGTCCAAAGTCATTTTATCAGAAGTTCCGAAGAATTACCCGAATATGAAGCATGCATGTATTAATTCATATTTTCATTTGGATCGTTCTTGTACTTTGCTCATAGATTTAGCTTAATACTTTTCAACCCTTATTTAGATTTCTGGTCAATGGACAAGTCAAACAGCTGGTGGAAATGCAAGTAATAAAACATATTTAAATAACCCAGAGTTTCGTGTTTCTATAATGCCACCAACGTCGTCGGATAAGGCTCGATTATTATTAATGTTGGAAGGACCTAGGGAGTATGCGATAGATGTCAGAATGGTATGGAGCAATGGAAAAAGGATAGCTAGGTATGAATAAGAGAGAGACATTCATCGATATTTTCATTGTACTGATTTTTTTTTTTTTCTTGTAGTCTTGTTCCCAAGGACATATTGATGAAATCTACCGGTTATCGTAACGGGTTTTGCTATTGTGAAAAGGATGATGTAAAACGTATGTGACTTGAAATAAAATTATGTAATATTATTGGTAGAATATATAAATTTAATCAAAATTATTTAAATAGCCGGTGATTATACTATTGTTGTATCAACATATGAACCCGGTCTTATTGGGGATTTCATATTAACTGTAGCATCAAATGTCACATTTAACGTTACTCCTATTCCACTCGAAGGAGCCGTAAGTCATCTAAGAGATAAATAAATGAATTTAAACTATTCAAATAGTGGTTAATGATTTCACTTTATTATTAGGGAATGTTCAAGGAAGTAATTCAAGGACAATGGTAATTGAAGCTATTTACGTTCTTCTTAATTTTAATCTTATTAACCTTTATTTATGTGATTTGATTTGATTTAATAGGATTGAGGGTGTTAATGCTGTTGGTTGCCATCGACACAATGATTATTACTTAAATCCAAGTTACCACCTTAAAATTTCAGAAATGATTATTGTCAAGTAAATACCATTCGTTTTTTGTTTAGAATTATCAATAACAATCATATTTACTAAATTATGAAAATATCTTTATAGAATTAGGCTTCAAACACCAGAAATAAGTCCTACACCAATGATACATATCAAAATATTTGAAAATCTTTCAAATAATTCACTTGGTAAAGAAGTGGCTAATTCTGGACATTATGCTAGTTTTGTTCAGGGTGTATGCACGGATGATATAGCACTTCCCTCATCCGATCAAGGTTATGTCATAGTATTTAGTACCTGGGAAAAAAATGTATCTGGCAAGTTTGTTGCTTACATTTATAGCGATAGAAATGTAATTGTTGAAGAAATTGTTCGCGAGTGAAAAATTATTTTGGAGCTCGCGTGAGACAATTATTTTTAGAATAGAATTTATAATTATAGATCTGATGTATTATTAAAATACATTATTTATTTTAACTTGATTCATCCACTTGTAATTTTTTTTTTTTAAAAAAATAAAAAATTAATAAAACCGAGTCACGAGATATAGTTAATTACCACAGTCTATAAAATTATATAATTGTATCTAACGGAGATAATTATCGTTTTAATTTATTAAATATTCTAGAATTTTAATTACATGACTATAATTTTCTTCTATAATCCCAGTTTCAAATGAAATCCATTCCAACTTTTCCATCCACAACCTCCATTTATCGAAAAGATTGAAAGGCTATTTATATACTATTATTCTAAACCATCATTAAAACCCATTTATGATTGTTTCTTCTACCATGGCCTTTTTTCCTGATGCAACCAGAACCTAATTGATGATAATCGATTTATTGATGTCGCTTGGTTAAATGTTGTGTTTATAACCGATTTGTATAGATTTGTATAATGAAAATAAGGGTCAACATATTTAACTTGACACTTGGGACATGATCCATCCAAATGCCAATATGGTGAATCTTCCTTGTACCTATTGTCAGGTGTATTACAATCGCAGGGATTGTACTTTTTCTTAAAGTCGTCAAGGGCGTTCCCCTTAAAATTAAGAACGGCGAGCGAATTGACCTTCTGAGACACCGCCATTATTCTTGCATTTTGAAAATTTATATAATACACACGTATTTTCTGTGTATTATAAACATTTCATGTATTTTATTAATTTATTCATGTAGCATTTATTTTGAATATTTGGGTTTATTATTAAAATCGAGTCATGATTTATTTGATTTGTTTTATTTATCATTAAGTTTTACGTTTTGGCTTTTTGGAAAGGGTGAAGGACGAGGTTTTTATAACATTATAAATTTTTTTTTTTTTTTGCGAAACATTGGCAGGCAAATGAATGAATGCCTTTACGTCGAATAAGGTTAATAGCTGCGTCCCGAATGGGTTTCATTCCTCGTGTGTCGATCATCATTGAAATTTTATTCACTGCGCCTTCAGGTAGTATTCTATTTTATTATTTATTAAAACAAAAAATATGTGCGATTCACTAATTTTCCATGAAGAAAATGCTAAAAATCTTCAAATAAAATAAATTAACAATGTTAACAAAATATGAAATATTAATCAGATGTACAATTATCCGCGAATCGCAGAATAAAATTAAAAAACTAATGATACAAAAATTTTACAGAATTTTACGACGCATTATAAATAATTAAGTAATCGTACAATCCTCCGCTTTTAGTCCATATAACTCCTTATCCACTTCTTTTTTAATTATCATCCAATCCTCCCGTTTCTGGCAAAATTCATAAACATCTTCCGCACGTAAAACACCATTAAACCTTTCTGATTCTCTCACGAATAATCCAATATCACGTGCATTTGATATAATGTAAATATTTCCAAGTTCCTTAAGCGCGATAAAGTATGGTGTAATATTTTGTTGATGTAGATTAATAATAAAAGAACAATAATGATTCAAATCACTTTAAATAAAGTAAAAGTAAAATTTCATAAATTTCGTGATCTGACTTGTACAATTCAGTGAATTATAATACTTAAATGAATCTTACCTAATGACTTGAAACCCACCGCTTAGGCTCACCGTAAATCTCATTAGATGTTTTGTTAAAATCCTAAAATTAAATAAAACAAATAAATAAATAAGAGAAATTCAAAATAAGAAATATAACCGCTATGTAGTAAACTTACCCAAAAAACCGAAGGCCAATTTCCTGGAAGAAGACATCTAAAGTATGTTTGTCTGAGCAACCGACAACTAATTTAGTGTGACTAGAAAGACATTCGACAGCATTGATACATGCCTTTCGATTTATGATGAAATAAATGAGTTCAAATTATAACAACCGCCATTACGATATATATATATAAATATGTATAATATACAATATTTACCTTTGTTGGTTGCAAATCAAGTGAAGCATCGCTCGCCGGCTTAAAATCTTCTGGTTTTTGTTCTGTAGCAAGAATAAATTCCACGTGATGCATTAAAACCTGGTAAAAATGAATATTAAATTGTCCTTTAAAATAAATTCATTTAACAAGTACATCAATTCGATATACCTGAATTCCCTTGTTTAATCCAGCAGCAACGCTTTCGTCAAGGACTTTTTCAAAGATTTTTTTTTCCTTATTACAATGATTTAAAAAATCTGTTTTATCCACATATTTATTCTAAAAATAGATACTTGTTAAACATATGCGCTTAGATACGAAAATTTAGGTGACAATTTTTATAAATGATGTGTGATGGAGCACTATATTACCAATTCTTCATCATAATATACTTGCACCATTTGTTGGATTAAATCAGCAATATGGACCAACTCAAAGAATTCCACTAAAGGTGCAACGTCAGACGAAGTAGATTCTGGATCCGATTTAAATTCACCAAGATGTTTTATGGCACTAATAATAAACGTAAAATGCATATGTGAAATTTGTAAGTATCAATATTTTTTAAAAATTTATTTATTAAAAATTTATCAAGAACTTACGTATCAAATCCTGGTTTAATATGTAATGGCCCTAGTGTCTGAAGAAGAATAACAAATACTGATTCCAAAGTTTCTTTACTAAAAAGATAAAGAATTTCTTTAACATCAGAAGAAAGCATTTGCAAATTAATATAAAAGGATTAAATAAAATTACCTACATTCTGAATCCCATCTTATCAGGATATCCAACAAAAGCAGAAACTCTACGTAATGAATCTTTGTTCACGTGAACCATTTGCAAGGCCGTCTCCAAACTAAGCATTTGTTGCATCTTGTCCAATTTAGCATTCCATAAAGCCTCCTGTAGATCTGTTGGGCTTAGCGGAGGATTAGAAGCATTGCTTGCAACACTAGCTCGTTTATTACGAGGAGTACTTGAGGTGGATGATTGAGTTTGTGAAGAATGACGTGAACGCGTTGTCGAGAGCTTGAAAATTTTTCGAAAGGAGGTGAGGTAATTACGTTTGTAAATCTCTCTGTTTGCATTATGAAGAATGGCCTGTTGCGCTTCTATCGATTTGTTCAACAACTATTGGAAGTTATAAAAGCAAAGTTATTATCGCAAATTCTAATTCAACATAACATGTGTATAAAGAAAGTATTTTCGACAATATGATCATGTTACATTGTCACCTTTTGATTCAATTTTTCAATAATTTCTTCACTTTGTGCCCTAACATAATTCAATTCTTCTGTCAAATAGTTGTCCATAAAAGGTTCAAACATCTGGTACATTAGATCTTCGGCTCTTATTTTGGTTAAGCCAGGCTTGGCTTCTTGCCAAAGAACTTTTATGACTTTTATACAACGCTGATGAGCTGCCACTGTTGTCTTCAAATACAAGCTAATATCCTTATTGCGAGCTTTCTCCAATAGTTTTGATATGTATTCTATAATCTATCAAAGAAGACACTCGACTTATTTAGATTGAAAATAACTAAAAATGTGATCTTTATTCAATAAGTACTTACAACATCCTCAACAACACGCTCGACAAAGGTATAAAACACGTCGGCATCCTGTGGGAATACCTGATTGATTAAAATAGCTTGTTTTTTTATTTCTTCTTCTACATAATTAAAAAATTCTTTCATCGAAGCATAACTTAATTCACTGAGATGCGATGTTGATCCATATCTAATGAGAGAGGGCATGATTAGTTCATTTAATTTTTATTTTTATTTTTATAATTGAAGAAAACTCACGTAAAATTGTCCAGAGGATTATAAAGATAATCAAAGAATATAGAATTCTTTTGTATAAAAACCTGTATACATGCTGAGCCTCCATTCAGATTCAAAAGAATAGCCGCCCATTTCTTTTTTAAGAAAAAAAAAAATACAAAAAAAAAATAGTAACTTTAACGTTACTATAGACAATATTAATTAAACAAACTTATTTGAAAATTTAAAAAAATAAACCTGCATTTCCGTCGTATTATTGACATTATATGCCAATTCAAAATGGTGGAGTGCAGAGTTCTCAAAATATTCAATGGTTGTTTCCAGCGCACCATTAATCTATCAGGTATAAAAAAAATGATCAATTATTTCATGTGAATAAAAATATTATCCTCTATAATATTCAACGCACAAACCTGTTCAGAATCTAACGTAATATTTATTTTGCCAAAATTAATTAGTCTTGCCAACATCTTTGCTTGATCTGCTGGATCATTATACTCTTTAAATAATCTACTATCCTTCCTTCTATGTCTGAAATCTAAATAATATGGCAGAAGTTCTCTATAAATCTTTTTGAATGCAGTTCTTGCAGCACCAGTAGATGCAGCACGAGACTTTTGAGAGAAAGGATCAGAAGGAAGACCGGGGATTAAGGATAGAGTTTTATGAGAACGTGCCGTCTTTATCGCAAAATCTAATAGATTTCCAGTATGGTTAGGTGTTGTGGGTGAAGCTGGAGGTGTAGCTATAGGATCAAATTCTGAACAATCATTTAACATCATATCAGCTTTCCCTCTCACAGTATGTTTTGCATTAACGTATAATGGTTCTACAGGAGCATTCATGATGTCACCATTGCCGTAATCTTTCCAGATTCCTAGTACTTTTAAATGTTGTTCCCATAATTCATCATCATAAACCAAAACTTTAAATCGTCTACATGCTCTTGCAAAATTTGGTAGAGAGGTAATGGGGAGATATCCAAGAATTCTAATCAACAGATCTGGTGGTAAAGTTTGTGGTTGTGATGTCTGTATTGTTGGTAGTTTTTTCGAAGAGGTTATACCTGGAATGACAGGAATTGGAAGATCGGAAGGAATTGCACCAAAAAAATCGAATTTATCCATGTTGATTATCAAATTTCTTGGAATCTAAGAAAAATTTAAAGTTCAAGATCCATTCAAATATAAAGGTCGCGAAAATGGGTTTGTACCATTTTCGTGTACCCGAGGTTTATTAATAAAATTTATAATGCGCCATAATTGATGATTATCATATCGCGACTAAAAATGTAATTTCCGGGTGGCTTAGCTTTTGTAACCTACTAAAAAGGACATACTAATATGTTTTTTTTTACGTAATGTAGGGGTTGACACAGGGATGCCAATCATTTCCAAAGTCGAAATAACTTTATTACATTACAAAATATTTTAATGGTTTATAATCGTTAATTAAATTTTTTTATTATAAATTTAAGATGAATTATGTACAGACATTAAGTATAATTTCCCAAATCTTATTTTTCACCATCTTTCAACGATATTTTTTAATTGTGGTTTAACGCCAAGTTCTATTGATTTTTCTCTTTCATTAACGATCATTGTCGTGTATGTGCTTTGGGCTCTTCCACATCCCTCAGGAGTTGCCAAAAAATAGTCCGCATCCATACAAACCAATTTATCTACAATTCCCGGAATTCCTGCACCTGAAAATTCTTTTTCAATCATTTCATCATTTCTTAAGTTAGCAAAGATTTTCGAAGACGACCACGTGTGAATATTAAATGTTGAATTTAAGAGATTAATAGCTTTATGATGTTTTTCGGTTAAAAGATGAAAAGTTTGAGATTGTGTTGTCCCTCCGGTGATTGGATAATCCGTTGCAAGATAAACGTTTTGAATCCCTTGCGATTCTTTAATCTTCTGAAGCTTTTTAACTAACGCTTCGGCGCATTCAGGTAATTTATCAAGTATTGCCCTTTCCATCCTCCAATGAATCGCCACATATGGTTTAATTCTATTAATAATCTTTGAGGCCTCTTCAAAGTTATGATTACTGTATGGTATGGGTTTTGAGATATTTGAAAATAATGGGTAATACACTAAATGTGTAGTTAACAATATCTCGACGTCCGTTTTGAGATTATTTATAAGAAATTCGGAGAATTTTGTTTGTTTTTTAATTGATTCTAGACTTTTTTGACCAGTATAGAATTGTTTAAAAACGGTTTGATCATCCATCTTAAATCCGAATCGATTAAGGCAACTTTTCGTTTTAAGTAAATCGGGATAAGGTGTAACCAATTTCATGGATTGAATTTTTCCACCAGGTAAAATTTTTACGTGTTCCGTGTTTGGTTTGATTCTTCTCTTTTTCGACCAACATTGAAAATCTTTTTGTGTGATAAATTTTACGTCCGGAAACATCTTTTGTAAAGCTTTAACATTATAATAGAATCCAAATGTGAACTTTTGACATGCATTAATTCTAGAATTTCCGACATTGGTCAAGACCATCGTACGATTGAGAGCTTTTGCAAGTTTTACAAATGACCTAAAATGCATATTAGCTTTCGTTTCTTGTTCCGGTTGAAGATACGTAAATAAAAATTTGCATTCGGATTTTCCACAAAATTTTCGATTGATTGCTTCCTCATGTTCATTTGATGGTGAATATTTCGTTTCCTGTATATCGGTAAATTTTTCATCCAAGTCAAATTCATAGTTTTTAATAATTACATTATCATTATCATTAAAATCATCTAGATCCTATAGTAAAAAAAAAAAAAATGAAAATTAATTTATTTTTATTTTTTTTTTAATTTTCAAGATGCATTTCATCGTTTAAGGCATATATATACTCACATCACACTGCTCAGTGAACTCTGTTAACTTTTCTGACATATCATTATCATAATATAAATACAAAATGACATTTAATAAAAGAAACATCACAAAAAAAGATGAACATAGACGTGTATTCTTTATTCGTATTGCCATGCTTATATTTCTATCTAATATTTATATTCTGCGTAAATGTTTATATTAACAAAGCAACCAAAATCAAAAAAGATCGTTTCAAAAAAAAAAACGAGAAACTCGTTTTTTTCTTTCTCTTTTTTTTTTTTTTTGCTGTTGAAAGGAATTATTGGTAATATATATGGGTATTTTTTTATAACTAAAAGTGCACCAATCCATTTAATCAAGATTATCCAATTTTATAGTTTTTTAAAGGTTTTTTTTTTTTCATATATAGTACGGGCAGAACGGTAAAAAGAACATGACAATTTTATAGTGAATCGTTTCTAATTTCGTTCCTTTAGTGGCGCCAATAAATATTTGTTAACCTTTTTGATAATTTATATAAACACTTAATTTGTTGTAGATTTACTCCGTTCTTTTATTTTGTTCGTTGCCCAATCGATCATCCAAAAAAATGTCAACCGGTGAATTTTATTTTAATCGTGATGATTTACATACTAAAAGAAAAATTAAATGAGTACATTAGGTATTTTGGCCTCGTACAGACATAATTCAATTAGCTAATATAACTTCTAGAAATGGATTTAACAAACAATAACTTATCAAATCTATTTTTATCACTTCCTTGACATGCATATGATATTATAGTTGGGTCCCAAATCAATCATTTTCGAATGTCCCATGCGTCCTTATCTGACATTCCAATGGATCATCATTAATGATGTTATCTGCTTTGAGAGATGCTTTATCGAGTTTACTTATGTTGCACAAGGTAGTCCATTATAAATAAAAAATTTCGACGATCAATTTTTTTTTATTTTTTTTTTTTTAAAATCCTAAGCCAAGAAAAAGCCCAAGAAAGGAAGATTTCAAAAATGTCAGACGATCCATTTTTTACTGTTAAAGAGTATAATAAAATTTCAGTAATTTCTTTATTAGGGTTTATAATTGATTTGAAAAAAAGGAATTAAGAATTTGTTTTAAACGCATTAAACGCATTGTAGAGAAATAGAACAAAATTTCACGACGGTAACAACCTTATTCGAAAGCTGGAATCGTATCTTTAGTACAGTTTCATCTAGGAATAATGAAGAATTACGAAGAACAGAAGAAGAATTAAAATCAACCTTACAAGATATAACAACTGATCTGGATGCTGTCGAAGAAACAATAAATATCCTTTTCTTTGAGAAAAATAATTAGATTTACAATTGTTCATCCTTTTTATTGTATTAATCCTTAACATGTGCATTTATTAATGATGTAGATACGAGTTGTTGAAAATCACCCTGATAAATTTAGTTTAACAAAACGTGAAATAGAATCACGTCGTGAATTTGTTGAACAAACAAGGTTGCGATTACAGGTATAATTTATGTTACTCTTTTTTATATTTTTATAGCAATTATTTTCGAAAAGCTTATTTCATTATGTTCAATATAGGAGATTCGAAGATCCTTGGAAAATAATCGTCATCAAGTATGTCCTAAAGAGAAGCATTTTTCCCATTTAATTTATTTTTTCTTTTAATTTTTTTTTTAAAAAAAAAAATTTCTCTAATATAGGAATTAATTGATGGACATAAATCAACAAAATTATTCGAGCAAGTTAGATCAAAATCAAGATATGAAGAAGTTATAGAAATGGATAATACTAAATTCATAGAAAATGAATCTTTACAACAAACCGTAAATTAAATATAATTTATCTCAAAGAAATTAAAGGAAGCTTGATTCGCATTAATTATTTTATTTATTAATAGATTTTGCTAAGAGAACAAGATGATCAATTAGAATCATTATATGGAACTGCCAGAAATATTCATGAAATTGCTACAACGATGGGAACTGAATTAGAGGATCAAAATATGTGTGAAATTTTTTTTTTTTTTAAAAAAAAAAAAATGATTTATTTGAGTGATTTCCTAGTAATTTTTTTATATCTAATTTTTAGATTGTTGGATGAATTTGGAGATCAAGTTGATAGAACTCAAGGAAGATTGGACAAAGCTATGAGGAAAGTAGCTTATATTATTAAACATAATGAAGGTTTGACTCATTTATTATATTGTTTATTGTTTAATTTATTATTTTGTATTATTAATAATTGTTTTTCTTTTGAATAGAATCAAAATCAAATTGTTGTATTGTGATTTTAATCATCGTATTAATTATTTTATTAATATTAATCATAGCTGTTTAATGTAATATTTATATTCTAGTATTTAATAATTGTATATTATAATTTAAAATGGTTATTTCTAAAAAATTATCAATAAAGTTTCGTCCATTTCAGGACATTTGCATTAAATTTTTTTCTTTGCAAAAAAACCGTCTCGATCAGTATCATGTGACTTTGAAAACCGATCAGTTATCAATCTGCAAAATTTTTACGCAAAAATCTATAACATGTCGCTCGATAATATTGTTGCTATTCTTCAAAGTCTCTCCGAAGAGCCTAATAAATTAAGTGAGGAGGAGGAGGCAATTTATACGTATATCTTACTGACAAGAATACTAAATTAGCTTACGTAGAAAAATTACTTAATCTCTGCAAGACAAATAACGCTAAGCTTGTATTCTTGAAAGGACTATCGAAGAAGTCTGTTTCTGGTGCGTTGTTATGATTTGCCTGTCTGTTATATAACCGAATACTTACTTAATCTTGTGCTTTTCTTTCTGCTACTTATCGTCAAATCTGCCCAAAATACACAATCGCGTTACGTAGGACAACCCGTTGCCGGTAAGTGAGTCGTAATAGATTAGTCAATGCCTTGGCTTTATTTTTTTAATAGTCGCACAATTGCTTTCGGTACTGTGATATATAAACTAATAATATATCTTCTTTATCATCAATTAATTTTATTATACAGGGTTTCCTAGTAATGAAAAGATCCAGGATATACTTCTGATTGAATATTGGATGGCAATAGAGAGTATAGCAATGTATAAAGAGGATTTGTTTGTCAAGCTGCCTAATGGCGTCTATATGTTAGGAGAACCAGACGGACCTTCAGCTCTGTTTGTCCGAAATTATTACCATGATCTGGCAACTGTCGTCCTTGATAGTACTATAAGAATACGAATCACCGGTAATCCGGGAATTGGCAAATCATATTTTGGATATTACCTACTATATATTTTTAAAAAACTTTCAAATATTTGACGGAAACCCTAATTTGTATTAATCAAGATTTATGATATTTTAATTATTTGTATTAGTAAAATATTTTAATAGTACTATACTAGTTTACTTTATTATTATTAGTTAACAGTTATATTATTTATAATTAAAGTAGTTATTATTCTTTTATAATGTAAAATAATAATCCTACTTATATACATTATAAATAATATATTTAATATTTAATTTGATTTTAAATTATAAATTTATAAATAATTAAATAACTTTTCAAACTTAGAAATTTGTTTAGATGATATTAATTGTAATATTTAAGTTAATAATTATAAAAGTAATAATAAAAGAATAAATACAAATAAATTATTTTATAATTTATAAGAATTATAATCTATTTAAAACATCTAATTATAATATTACTAATCTTTATAAATAAATAAATATAATATAAGCATTATAATATTTATATATAAAATATAATTTATATAATTATGTTAGATTTTCTTTTATAGATAGATCATTAAGTATTATTTTATATTTTTATTATTATATTTATTAATTAATGATATTTATAATTAAGTTTTTATTATATAAGAATTATAATATAAAACTTATATAAAGTTATACTAAAAAATTAAAATTATATAAAATAATTTATAAATTAAAATCTATTTATTATAATATCTTCAATATCTAAATGTAATCAGAAAAATTATTACATAATTAACTTTAAAGTTTTAAATTATGTAAATTAAATCCTTATAATATTTTTTATGTTAAAAAATATTTTTCAAATGTTAATTTAATAATTTACTATTTACAATTAGAATGTATATTTGTTTTATTATATATTTCTTAAAAAAGTTTTTTTTTATGATAAATTTTATTTCTTTAATTATTTTTTGAATTTAGATTTTACATTTTTTATCTATTTTAAAATATTTTAATCATTATTTATGTTAAAAATATATTTTACAGTCTATTAACAAAATTAATATATTTTATTTTTAAATATTCTTTTTGGCATTAGTTATTTTCAAATTAATATTTTATTTCTTAAATTCATATTGTGTATTTTTGATTTACTAGCTCAAAAAATTTATCTTATAATTTAAAAACTATTAAATTAATTAATATCATTATTATATAATTTGTATTTCTAATTTTTTTAAATGTTATTTGATAACTGAAGATCATCAGCTTTAAAATAATTAAAATAAATATTATTAGTATACTACTGTATATTAATGATATTATTTATTCTAATTATTTTGAAATCTTTGATTAAATTAAATACCTTTTTAAATAATTTGTCTTTTAAGAAATTTTTAAACCATAAATCTATTTATTAAAGAATATTTGCAAAAATATTATCCACTTATTAATATTTATTAAAATAGTAAATATGATATATAATTTTTTATTTATATTTTAGTTTTTTTTTTATTTTATTATTTTACAGTAATTATTATTTATATTTTTTCTTATTTTCATTTGCTTTATTTTCATAATAATTATTTAAAGAATTTTAAGAATTTTTAATATTAAAAAATATATTTTTATTAAGATTATTTTTTAGTATTAGTTTTAATAAATTATTATATAAATAAAATATTTCAATAAGATTATATTATAAAAAAAAGAAAGAGAGTTGTATATTTTAATTATTATTATAATTTTTGAGTTTCTAATTATTTTTTTTAGAGAAGTATACATATAGTAAATTTTAATTGTTAATTAATTTTAACCTATACAATCAACTCTTAATATAGTGAACTCTTGATATAACAAATTTTTTGAACAAATATAGTAAAAATACTCTTGTTATAACGAATTGACCTATCAAATCTCTTAAAATCTTCACTATAACCTTATAGCAAAGTTGAAATCTAGAACATAGAGTTTATTATAACAAAAGTTGACTGTATTATGCTAACAAACAAACTAAAAAAAGTATTAATTTTTTAATAAAATATTAAATATTAATTTAATAATATAATAATTTTATAAAAAATATAGTTTTAAATTATTAAGAAATTTTTTAAATAATTTAATTTTAAATTAAGTATTAAAAGATTTATTATAATAATTTTTTAAAAAAATTTTTTTAATAATTCATGTTTGCAAACTAATTAAATCACTTACTAATAAAGTTATAAAATTTCTTAATAAATTATAAAATTATAATAATTAAAATTATTTTTCGTGATAAATTTTATAATATTCTATTATGATTAATATTACTAAAAATAAGTTTATTAAAATTTATTGTAAAAATTACAAATTTTTAATTTATAAGAAACTTTATATTTTTTATTATATAATTAAAAAATAAATTAATTTTAAAAAAATTAATTTTTTATAAATGTAAATCAGAAAAAATTTATAGTAAATAAGCAGGCAAATTTGTTTGTGAATTATTACAATTTAATAGATACTAATAAATCAATTGAGTTTAAAAATTTTTTTTAAAATTATTATTAAAAAATTGAATATAGATTCATATAAATAATCTATTTTACTAATTTATTTTTATTTTTCTAATTACTACTAATGTTTTGGGCGAAACTTCTTTGTGATTGGCGAAACATTTCGCCTATTTTAGGTTTCAGTTTCGGCTATTCCGAAACTTTCGAAACCTGGCGTAATTTCCGAAATCTGGCGAAACGTCCGAAACATGGCGAAACTAAAAATGTCACGTGTATTATTTTAATTGGTGGTTAAATTTAGTGATGTTCATAAACTTTCGATCTTTTTTTTTTATATCCAAGATGTAAAGAATTTTTATAACGCGTCGTCGCGTTTAATTATAAATAAAGTTTTTCACAC